ATTCGAAACTTTTCTTGGTGGAAAATATTAATATGTTTGATATTTTATGAGAGATAAATGTATCAGCTTCAAAATAGCAAAGATTGCGCAGCCATAGTGATTGACTGTATGTAGTGCGCATTGAGAAAAGAAGGTGCTCTCCATTTCGTCATGTTAAATTTTTTGGTAAACTATGCCTGCTGAAAATTTGATGGCGGGGAACACATAGGAAAAAGGCATCGCGCAAACGTTCTTTACGCGCTGCGGCAACTTTGATCTTGGTTCATTTGCATAGCGCTGCGTGCGCGTAGCTTTGCCGAGTGATCTCCTTCTCAATAATACCTCCATGGTACAACTATACTATGCCTGCAACATTTGCCTCATATTACTTCTGGGTGCAATTAATAGTTTTATCTAAAATTACATTGAAATAAACAAATGAACATCCAATCTCTGTGCTGACGCTCAAGTAATTATTTCTAAAACTCAACGTCTGGAATAGTCATAAATATATGACTGCAAAGTGTTTTAACTTACAATGGATATTTTTGGTAACTTTCCAAACTCTCAATAGGCCTATTAATTGTAAATTGGAAAATTCATAAAACACAACTGTTTATAATATGACTTCGATTTTAATAACTACTATACTTCGAATTAAACATAGGCCTACTATATACATAATATTCGATAAATACAGCACAATAAGGGGTGAAATTAACTACAGTCCAGAGGGGTAAAATTGAATTGTTCAGGAAAGTAGAGAGGTGGAAAAAGGAATTAATTTCAACTGTCTGAATATATACTGACAGAGGACCCCGCTGGGGTATATGCGGCAGTGTGCGTCATCGATCTATAAACTGTAGATGTTATTTATTTATTTATCTATGATTTAAAATATATATTATAAATATATTACTAGTAAATGATTTTGTATTGGGTTGGGTTTAAATTTTAGTTGTTTATTTTAATTTGATGTGTTTTGAAATCATTTGTCTTTCGTGTTTCGAACGCACCTTCTTATACAAAGTGTGCCACTGATATAAAATTTTAAGTCCAAATAAAACTTTCATTATTATTTTACAGCAGCAAGATGCAGGTAGGAGCCGTAGAAACGACATGAGTTTTGCTTCCTGGACTCTTTCCAGTGGTTCTGGGCTGCTCCTAGCAACGCCCACATATGCTCACGTCTGGAAGCCGGACCCCATCTGTGACATCGTACCCCGTCAGGCGAATCCTGGCCTGCCCATGATTAGCCGACTGACACTATACTAGCAAAAAAAAAAAAAAAAAAAAAAAAAAAAAAAAAAAAAAAAAAAAAAAAAACCATCTAAAACAATATGGAGACTAGTAGGAAAGCTGCTATTGTCAAAACAAGACTTTCTGGACACTGTTTTTATTTTGTATTAGATATTTCTTCCTTTATCATTGGAAATTTAATACTCTAATCCTACTCAGGCTTTGAATTTATCCACGGTCTGAAATTAATTATACATCATAAAAATTGATTAAGCAATGGTATTGATTACAAGAATAACTAATCAACCTTCCATTAATTCATTTTCTAAGAAGACTTTGATTAATAAGTTATATTTTATATAGACCAATAAAAGTCAAGAGGAAAATATTCGTGGTCATTCATTAAAGACAATTACAAGTATATGCAAATAACGTATTCTAAACTATAATCGTATTAACCATTCAATCATTTACTCACAACATATCAATATTGCAAAAATGCAGATGCCTATGCTCCAATCATTAATCATAAAAAAAACGTAGACCTACGTGAATAATCAAATTCAAGAATATGAGTATATAAATAATACAATCCATCTTCCGGCAAATGCTGGGTCGGATGCAGGATTTGGCGGTAGGGGCTGAGTTGGGAACATTTTCAGAATATGGGCCTCTAGGTGCCCGGAAATTGCACTCTTATACCTTTAAAATCTTATCGGTATGTTCATATTAACAATACTATACAACAATTAATTTTCTTAATACAATTTAGGGGGGTGGGGTGGGGCGCGATCGCTCCGTCTGCACCACCAACCTCACCCTACATCCGCCCCAGAAATTACTTAAAATTGTACTCATGTTTCAATGGTTTTCATGTAATTACACAG